AACTATACCATTTTTAGTATTGTCATAATATTGTTTTATTTTTTTATCTTCATTAAATTCATGACCAAAAAGTCAAAGTTCAGAGTTGACTAAATTGTGCCCACCCCGAACCAATTTTCTGGCTCCGCCCCTGCCGTAAGTAGAAGAAACTCCTCTGCTAAGGGGATTAGCAACAATTACAACAAGGAGCTAGCCATATTGGAAGGAGGCGATTTTTGTCCAGTTTCGGCAGCCGCTCTCCAAAACTTTCTTCATCCTACTGCGATTTGCTGCTTCATCGTGTTATTCTACCGAGACATATACCTGGAAGTATAAGCTTATCTTCTTCAATTTCTTCCTCTTCTATATATTTGTTAGAGTTTCTTAACTTGTATAGTTGAATCTTCGATTTCTAATAAATTTTAATCGCTATATAAAAAAGGAAGGGAGCTTAATTTATGTGCCTGCAAAACATTTCAATGCTCGAATAGAATCAAATCACTGAAACATTTATATGGCTACTGATATCGGCACCTTGGAGAAAAGGTGAACTTTTCGACCTAATTTCACTGTGGAATTCATTTTATTTTTATTTTTTAATTCAGGTGATTTTTAAGTTCTTCTATGGCATGTTTGTTTAATTATTTTGCTATTGAAGTATATATTATATACTGATGATTGAGATTGGGGGCAAAAGATTTATTAAGATTTGATTAATTAAGAAAAAAGATTTGGAGTCAGATGCTGAAATATTCTCTGCAATTGAAAATCACTTGTCCAGTGATCTGTTGGATATGTTGCCTAATGTTCATATTTAGCCTCAGGATACATGATTATTTGTGGATTATTATCAATTTCTTTTGCTCTGAAACTTGATGTGAAATTTATTGCCTTTTGATATAGGTCACAATTACATTCGAGCAGAACACTTGCTGTTCGGATTGCCTCGTGAGGGTGAAGGTGTGGCAGCTGGTGTTCTTGAGAACTTAGGTGCTGACCCAAGAAATATTCTTACACGGGCAATAATTACTACTTCTCTTTGCTTTCTGTTGACTATTTTTGTTAATCCCTTGAAACTGACTGTGTGTTGATCCATTTGGGCAATTAGGTTATTAGAATGGTGTGTGAGAGTTCGGAAGCTGTTGGTGCTGGTGTTGGAGGTGGAAGCTCAGGCAGTAAGATGCCTACACTGGAGGAGTATGGTAGTAATTTAACCAACTAGCTGAGGAGGTAATCTTCTGTATTTCTTCATGCCTGTAAGCATTAACTTTTCATAGAGAGCTAAAAGGTGCTTGATGTCTTGGTTTTAGGGTAAATTGGAACCTGCTGTTGGAAGGCAGCAGCAAATTGAACGTGTCAATCAGATTCTGGGGCGGTGTACAAAAAATAACCCTGCCTCATTGGACAACCTGGCATTGGGAGGACAGCTACTGCGGAGGG